GCATTCCAGCGAGGGAAATCACTGCCGCCTCTCGCGATAAAACATGCAAACACTTACGAGAGTAATGCCCTTTGCAGTTGACGCGCCCGGAATTACTAATCAATCAAATGAAGTCGTAGGCCAATCAATCAATCAAATAAATGAGAATGATAACGGATGAAAAGGACATAATTCTTGTTAATCTATGGTTTCATAAAATTTGTGAGGATTTGTGGAATACGTATGTTTGGGTCATCAATGCATATCTAGGCAAGTTACATGTTTTAAATATCTTTATTTACATTTGCATTTTTATATTTTACTTATTTTACATTTTTTAAACACATATAAACGAGTTTTCGTGATAACCTTCGTGATAACCGATATTAACAGAGCCCTTCCAAAAGTTAAATTCACTAAGGCAAATTATTAACATGGAAAGGGTAAAATTGAGAAACTAATGTATGTAGAGAAAAGAGTGACAGGCATGGAAAAGGAGGGAGGGGAAGAGGGATAGAGGGAGAGATGGGAAAGGAGAGTGAGAGGAGTAGGAAAGAAGAGAGAAGTTAGAAAGAGGAGAGAGAAATGGGCAAGGAGACAGAGAGGAATGGAAAATGTGAGAGAGAGACGTGGGAAACGGGAGAAAAAGGATTGGAAAAGAGTATGAGAGAGCGGAATGGAAAGGGAAAGAAGGAGAAGAATGAAGACGGAGAGAGAGACATGAAAAAGGAGAGAGAGGAATAAAAATGAGAGAGGAAAGGAAAAGACGTGAGGGTAGAGTAGAATGGAAAAAAGTGCGGGAGAAAGAGGAATAAAAAAGGAAGGAGGGAGAGAGAAATAGGAATGAAATTGGAGGAAGAGAGAGAGAGAGAGAGAGAGAGGGGAAGGGAGAGGACCTCACCAGTGCCTGGAGTGCGCGTGCCGGCTCTGCTCCTCGCGGATGAGGGCCAGACTGCGCAGCATGCGGTGCGTGTGCGGGTGGCGCGGAGACAGCATGATGAAGGGCAGAACTCGGCGCTGGAATCTCTGCGCACGCCCAATACCCAACACGACACATTCGATGGGTTAGAAATTCCGGGAGCGACAACTGCTAAGGTCATTAGTCCCGGAAGTGTAACGCATGTTCTTTTCCTCGGGAGATAGCGGTGATTTCCCACTCTTGCCGAATGGTGAGATCCGGCGCCGACCTGCCGTCGGCTAACGGAGTTTTAACCCTTTCACACACAAGGGACATATTTATTCTAAGGATTTGTTTTTAATTTCCATGATCCGGAAGTACTTTGAGTTGCGAGATGAATACCCATGTATTTGTGAACATTCCCTTAATATATTTTGACAATTCAGGAAAGTTGACAATTCAGGTAATCGCTATTTTGTGAGCTACATCGTAATAGAAATTTACTGGTTTGCAAACTAGAAATAGTGAAGATTTGAGAAGCAATAATTACTGTAACTCCAGATTTGTTTCACGCCTAATGTAAAAATATTCATCTCTGGTAAATAAATTGTTCGTAATGAGTTAGTAGTTTTCGGTATCTTACAGAAAATGCACCAAAATCGTAAAAAATCATAAGAACACCTTAGGGTGTTAATATGCGCCAATTAAAATTGTATATGCTATGTAATATAATGTACAAGAGATCTTTCTCTGGTGATATTTGCGCTTTGTAATAATTATAAGGTGATGGCGAAAGATCGCATTAGAGAGTTTGAACTTAATAAGAATGAAATTTTGCAGCCTCTGGTAGCTGATAGTTGTGATGGAGAATATTGATTTTTTATTACTATTCTCCATCACTATATGAAGAAGATGAGCAGTTTGCTGGAGAAGAAATAGGTGCTGTACTGAAAGTTTTTATCGAGACTAAATTTAGATTTTAACACTGATTGAAAGATGAAGATATATTTCAACACGATAGAGTAGAATTAGATAAAATTCCAGTATTCAAATAGAAACAATGCTAATCAACAATGCAACTTCCAGGAAAAGGTTGATTATAACTTCTGTGAAATAACCATTAGTGACTCTAAACTCATATCTTCAATTCATTTGAAGTTTTTTCTGTCGTCACAAATTTTGATTATTTTGTAGATAAGATTTATGTCCTGAATATATGAATTATGATATTTGGAATACAAATGTGTATACGGTTAGTAATAGTATAATGAAAGTCTTTTTAGGGATGAACTATTTAATGAACCATGGGGATGAACCGGATATTACTTACTATAAGAAGCTATTGGTCTACTCAACCACCACTTCGTATACTTATAAATTTCTTGTTTCATGTTCCCACCGCTACTACGGTGAAAGGCAGAATCTAATAGAAATATTTGTGTTTTTTGCCCTGAAATATTTCTGAAATAAAATAGAAATATGGGCAGAGTTGATCTGATGGATCAAAAAAAGGTTTTCTATAAAGTAGCCAGAAAATATAAGATTAAATATTATCTTCTTTTGTTAATTGATATTTTCGATATTTCTGTAAATAATGCATTGATTGTCTACATAAAATTACTTGAATAGAGTTGTGTAGAAGAGTCGCGATTGTCATGCTTACAGTACTGTCATCATCCACCTCGAGCAATAATTGATGATTTTCGTATGATGACACATTTTTACTACGGTGACGAAAAAACACCATACTCTCTAATGTCATGACTTCGAAGAGATTAATGAAAAATGGTACAATAAAGTTTCTCATATTATGATCAAAGTTAGCACTCGAAAGAGATGTGCTATTGTGCTAAAGCACATGTAGAAAATCGCAAATATATTGTATGTATCGCAGTACCCTATGAGTTTGAAAATATTTTAAAATAATTTTGTCTTTTCATACATTTTTATGCGTGAAAGGGTTAAGCTCCCGACAGGTCTCCCTGCACGTGTGGTAGTGTAGTGATTGTAAGTGCAGGTAAGGTGTGTTAAGTAAGAGGTAGGATAGGACAATGAATGGGAAGGAAAGATAGCGCGCGGTCCGAGGTCCGTTTGTTAGAGTACTATTCCGTCATTCGCGTGGTATTGATTCGATAAACCTCGTAAAACCATCGATCAGTGCAGCCGGCAGCTAGAATTCTCCTCCGTTATGAGGAGTCTGGTGTCGAAAATCATGCCTCCGTCCGGACTCGAGCCACCCGGTCTTAGGAACTGCAATGACATCAGCTGATACTCGTACCCTAAGCCACCTCCCTGCATTCGAGTCTTAAGGTTGTGTACCTGTAGGGACGGTTATGTTCCACCCAACGTGGAACAATCCTAATGGCTTTTAAAGTCACAATTGTGCCACACCAACTTTAGAATATCTAACTGTGTATTCTGGAGTTGGTCGAAGTGGATGTGCTGAAATGGCAGTTGGTGTGAGGAAATATAAAACGTGGTCTGCCAGTGCTCAGTTTCATTTTGTTATAAATTTTGAAAAATGGGTTCCTAAGGACATTCATTACTAGTTTTTTCTTGGTATTTTCTAATAATGTGCGTTAAAATTAAGCATGTATTTCATTTAGTCCTAATACAAGTAACCACTGTACAATGATTTTCATGTTCGTTATGGGACATGTATTTCCCAACTAGTCGTGTAAACTGTTGTTGGATGGAACGTTCTATTAAACGTCGTGACTTGGCAGGAATCTAACTACCCACAGATTTTTTAGTTTCTTGTATTCGTACGTGTATAATGAGTAATATTCGTAGTTGGGTTATGTAATGCTGCAGCAAAAATGGCATCTTTTCGACAGAAAAACTCATATTGTGACGCCATAACAGAAAAATTGAATAATCTTGTCCTAATTTATAGTAAATTACTCCCACTAAATGATATGTAGTAATATTTTAGAAATGGTGTGCCCTTGATACGAAAAAAGTGTAAAACGTTCGTCGGTTGGTCTGTTCCTCTGTAAACAACAGCACTTAGCACTTAAACCATTCGTAGCATTTGTCACAAAATGAATATTTCCCAGAAGGCTTGGTTCGGCTCAAAGCTATGAGATTTTGAAAATAATTCTTTATAGTTTGGAGATACTTTACTAGTCGCGACTATTTTTGACACAAGCCAAATAACTTGATCGATTTCAGCCGCGGTCTGGAGGAGAACTTCTAGCGGCCGGCTGCTCTGATCGGTAGTTTTCCGTGGTTTCTCCGATCAAGACCAGGCAAATGTCGGATCAGTGCCCTATAAAAAGTGCCAAGAGATCGGAGGAATCTTTCCCTGTATTAACAGACGTGTCGGTCAGTGCCAGATCTCATCATCCAGCAAGAGGGAAATGACCGCCACCGCCCGTTGAAAACATGCTCTACAATTACAGGTGTGACGATCTTAGCCTTGACGATATCGGAGACACGAAATAATAATAATAAGAAAAGCCTTCCTGTCCGATGCAGCGCAGTGACGTCAGTGGATGCTCCGAGCCGCACCTCTGCTCGGGACGGGTGCGGGGGCAGGGCCGGGTACGGGTCGAGGTTCTGGTCCTCGGGCAGCTCGCAGCGGTGGCGCTCCAGCCCCGTCAGAGGGTCCCCGGCGTTCGGCGGCCCCACGGCGTCCAGGTACGTCACCGACTCGTCGTCTTCCGACGATCTGCGCCCACGTGAAAATAGTAGAACGAGTGCCGTGTGTACAGGAATATTCAGAAACAAAAAAGTCCAACAAAAAACGCCCAGGATACAAAAATGAGAGTATACGCTTCCGCGGCCGTAGTCAGTAGCTACTTGGTTATCCGGGAAACTGTGTAATTATAGGTATAGTATATAATTATATTATGGTTATAAATGCAATTTTTATCCCTAATTGTTTGAATTTGCTTACGAGTGATTGTATCTATGTGTGGGTTTATATATGTTTACATAGTAGTCGTGAGTAGGTTTATGTATGTGATCTGAGCGGAATGTGAAGGCAAGAGAAGGCAAGGGAATGGAAAGGGGTTGGAAAGGGAATGGAAAGGGAATTGAAAGGGAATTGAAAGGGAATTGAAAGGTAATGGAATGAGAAAGGAGAGGAAAGGGAGGGGGCTGAGGGGGCTGCGGGGCCATGCCTGGTGTCGTAGCTGAAGGGCTGCATGTGGAAGGCGAGGCGGCGCGTGCTGATGGAGCCCACGGAGCTCCAGCTGCCTCCGGGGCGCGGGCCGGTCGTGAGCCCCAGGCCGCCCATGAACGGGTCGTTGACGCCCGAGTCGGTGTCCGCTCCTTGGCGCGCCTCGCGCAGCATCGCCCGCACGTCCGCGCGACCCTGCGCCCAACCCCACGCCCAAGCGCTTTGCGGCTCGCGTGCTAGCCCACATGGCACGCGCGGCAAGGGGAGCTTGTTTGATTGATCAGTGATGCTGGGCGAGTCAACCGGGAGGTCCTACGTTTGAGTCTAGAAGGCGGCAGGATTTTCGACTCCATCTTGACAGCTGGGTCTTGTACTGTCGCTGTCTGAAGGAGAATTCTAGCAGCCGGATACTATGATCAGTAGTTTTGCGTGGCTTCTTCGATCAGTACCAGGCGAATACCGGGGCAGCACCCTAACAAACGGGTGACGGACCGAGCGCGATCTTTGCTTGCTCTTTCTTGTCTTTTCCTATCCCTAACATTACACACACTAAAATGCCCTACACTATTACACTTGTTGAGAGACCAGCCAGCAGCTTAGAACCCATCCTGGCTAGGGCGGTGGCACCCAAGGTGGGACACATCGTTGGGGAATATCCTCAAGACGCAAGCCGACGAAAGGTCGGCGTCGAATCTCACGTTCCAGTGAGGGAGGATCACAGCCACCTCCCGCGATAAAACATGCTTACACTTACGGGAGTAATGATCTTAGCAGATGATGCACCCGGAATCACTGGTCAACCAAACCAACTCTTCCAACCGGGTGCGTCAACTGCTAAGGTCATTATTACCATAATTGTACGTGTTATCCTTTATAGGCGGCGGTGATCGTCTTCCACTGGATAGAAAGTCCCGGCGCCGACCTACACGTCGGCTACTGAGGTTTCCCAAGCAAGGTATCTCCCACAAGCGGGGCACCGCTTGAGCCGGGGCACGCCCTAAGCTCCCGACAGGTTTCCCGGCATATGTGGTGGTGTACGTGTTTTTCTCGATGCATGAAAGTGTATGTAATTGAGCCTAATTTAATGGAAACATTCCTACTGTAATTAAGGGGTGAGGATAGGACTAGCAAGTGCAAGGAAAGATCGCGTGCGGTCCGGGTCCATTCGTTAAGGTACTGTGGAGAATCCCCAGTACCCCGGGAAACTACCGATCAGAGCAGCCGACCGCTAGATTCCATAACTTTTCCTATATAGCGTGTGTTAGCCCGTGTATAGAGCGAAAGGGGCACGTTACCTGCTCGAGGAAGGAGGCGTTGCGCACCCAGTCGGCGACGCTGGCGGAGCGGCGGCGGAAAGCCGTCGGCCCGAAGGACCCGTCGCCTCATGGCAGCCGCTGGAGCGACGTGCGGCGCCGCGCGCCCTCCCGCCCGGCCCCGGCCCGCCCGCCGCCCCCGCCACGGACCCCCCGCCCCCGCCCCCGCCGCGCCTGTTAGCGACTCCACTTTCCGAGCGCGAACACCTCATCGGCGGCCTGTTGCATTTGCGCCGGGCACCGCCACGCTCGCCACTCAACGCCACGCGCGGGGAGCGAGTGGATGATTGATTGATTGATTGGAGTCTCCGGGCACCTTAACAGCTACTGTTGTTAGTCCCAATCGCGAAATAAAAACTATTGCAATGAATTGTTATAGCAATTCGAACAAGCCTTTTCAAATATACACAGGGGGGCCATAATTGCTATTAACTGATTAAGTGTAATAAGTTCTCGTTGAATAACAGTTTACTTAGAAAAAAGATTATTATTAATAATAATAATAATAATAATAATACGTGCATGCGGAGAAGTAGAACAACCCGTTGAGATGTTTTGGCAGTGCCCTATGTATGAATCAGAAAGAATAATATTGTTAAAATAATTATACGGTTTATAATTGTATTATATAATGTTCAACCTATGTTTGAAGGTGACAAATAATATAGTTATTATTAAAAGTATTGTCAATTTCATTAAGAAAATTAAATGTAATATATTTGTGGGGTGAATTAGTTTTAAGGTTTTATTTTTACGAAGATTTAATACTTTAAAATCAATTTAACGTAAATGTGTTTTCCCACCCGGGATGTGACAATGTTCCTCCCGCACAGGATGATGAGATCCGCCGCCGACATAAACGTCAGTTGGCGGGATATATCCCTCTCCAGTAGGTCACCGCCCCAGCCGGAACAAGTTCTAATGGGTTTCCCGGTGTGGTGTAGTGCATGTAATAGTAAGTGTGTGTGTGTGTGCATGTGTATGAGGAGAGGTTAGCTCAAGAAAGAGAAAGGAAAGATAGTAAACGGAACACGGCCATTTTTAGGGTATCGTCTGGTATTGGTAAAAGAATCCACGAAAAACTACAATGATCAGAGTAGCTGATCGTTAGAATTATCGAGACCACGGACGGCGAGCGACCTTTCCTTCCCATTCCTTGTCAAAGTCGCTGACCTCTTCCATTCAGAGTCGATATAGAGTCAGTGGGAATGCAGGCTTTGACCTAAACTCTGCTAGTCAGACGTTTACGGACCTCGAAGTGCCAAACGGGAGTATACCAACATTAAAGATGGTATTATGCAATCAATATTACAAAGAAATATTCATTTCCTTGCACGCAAGTGCTAGCGTAAATTTTAGAGTAAAAAAATTTAAAAATGTGAATCTTTTGAATTATTTATTTTTTACAACCATTCCTTTTAAATTATGATTTTTATTTGTTAAAATGCCTATTTGCACCTCTGCTTTAGCCAGAATAAATGCCTTTTTGAATGCTTATTTTAGTAAAAATGAATGTTTTTTTAATTTACCTATTTGAGGTAAAATACATGTATGAACGTCCGTGGTCTTATTATCAGTATTCATCGCTGCAACATGTTTCAATTTCACTAGCCACCTCGTTTTTCTTAATATGTATAATATCCGACTATTTACCGAAGTATGCATCAAAGCTGCATCATCGTAATAGCTTGATGATAACTTCAGCGTTCTCTTAGAGCCATGCCAACTTAAAAAGTTATAATTTTATTTTAGTCTTTGTCAATTCAGAAAACAATTGTGCAATCTGAGCAACATAGTGAATGTTGAAGTGGTTTTTCAAAAAAAATGTTGGGGGTCTTCTGATAGCCGACTTTATATATTTTGATCGATTTTTTTAGTCGTTTGTAAATAATTGAATATTTAACCTGCCACACTTAAGTCTAGCAATTCAGAGACTTTTTTTATTGTATGAGCGTATCGCTGGGCCACCATTCTCATCGAATTTTCATATATTCTCATAATAAGAATATAAAGAATATTGCACATGATAATTATCTCCTTAATAGTCAGAGCGTCTCTTCATATTATGTCGTATATTGTAATATATGTATTCTGGTTCTGTTGACACAACGCCGAACTTGAGGTCTTATAGTAATGGCTGATCACTAACGAATGTCTTCAAATTTCTCGTTCGCAGCTGAGCAAGGCACCTTGTTGCTACCGACTGGTGAAATTTTTTACTCTGGTCAGTCCACCGTCTTTCATTCTGTTGCTTGCTCTTTGAAGGTTCGGCGAACGGTATGCCGTTCTTCGGTGCATAGTTTCGTGGTAGACCAATGTTTGCAATCGGACATAAGTCGCAATCTGGAGGAACTCGCGGAAAGGATCGTAAAAAGTAGAAAATGTTCAAAATATATGTTTTTGCCGTACCTCAAAAATTGAAAATGTTGTAATATAAACTTGCCGAAAATTATTGTAATATATTCCTAAATACACGTGTCATTAGTTTTAAGCATATAAAGTTTTCCTTCTATTACATTGCAATTTATTTTGGGGTCCACCGACTGCACATGGCTTTCTTGTGGTTCCGGACCTTCGGAGGTGGTTCAGAGCATCAACTGATTTCTGCTTTCACTTCAGTACTTCTGTTCGAGGGGCCTTAGAGTTCAAGTGACGACGACGGCAGGACTTTCCTTGCTAACTGCATAGCTTGATCGCATTCTGACACCGTAAGAAGAATCCTAAATGCCGGCTTCTCTTTTCTTTATCATCCTTGTGCTATCCTCGCCTCATTTTTACACACACACACACACACACACACATACACACACACACACACACACTTCATTTTCATGTACCTCACTAGACATATCGGTAGATTAGAGCTTGTTCCGACTGAGGCAGGTTCCCAATTTTTGGAGATACCTAGGAGGGAAATTCTTCGGCAATACGTTATGTGGGTCGGTGCCGGATCTCACAATATACTGCGGGAAGAACGGCGCTACCTCCCTATATAAAGCATACACTACACTTATGGGACTTATCATCTTAGCAGCTGAGACGCCCGCAAATACGCCATTATCAACCAATCAATCAACCTAGGTTCCGGGCTGGCATTGATATGCGATTGATTGTCTCTATAGCTGGGAACATTTAAAGCTGATTCATACATTTGGTATTCGGCGAGTAGTGAGGGACCTCTCACCGATTCCCGAGTAGTGTGGTTGAGTTGTTCGCTATTTGCCGAGGGATGAACATTCTGTGCTCGCCTTATCCACCGCGTGTTCTGGGCAAATGAAAGGAAGGAAACATTCGCGAACGCATCAGCTGCTCAGGATTCGGCGAGAAGTCGCTCGCTGTTCGGTGAATGCTGAATGTGTTGGGACGCTTTAAAGGTCCTTTTACACGGTACAGTTTTCGTGCAGATTGGACGTAAAGAAAGCGTGCAGTCAACAATGCACCATTTCGACATGAAAACTTTTGAGCTTGTTCGATATGTCCATACAGAAAACGTACAGTTTGACTTTTAGCGCCTCTAGCGGCAGAATCGTTCACTAACGGACTTGTATGCGGCAGAAATCGTCCATCCTTTCCCATTTTGTGGTTAGGTTAGGGGCGATTCGTGAGATTTTGTGTATAGGCGTGGCGGATTCGTGTTCTCGGACTTTCTGGTGAGTTTATTTTACTACCTCTGGCAAATGTGGAGTTTCTAAACCAAATTTGTAGCCAAGAGTTTCTCCATTCGAAGTGGTTTTTTTGCACACCCGCTAAAGCTGTCATAGCCGTGCTACAAGTATTTAAAATAGTAGCACAGAATGCACGTACCAAAAT